TCCTAATTCTCCAATTCCAGTGCTTCAAATACATTGTGACCGATCCCCCCCGTCCTCTTACAGAGGAAGACATCTGGTTTCAGATCGGTCATGTCCACGAGCAACAAAAAGACGTGAGCTTCCTAACCCACGATGGTTTTATACTCGGGCTAACCCTGGCAGTTTGATTCTGCGCAACAAGCCTATAGACGGGTTCTTGATCGCGATCCCAATCATGCGAAGGTCTTGCAACAGCTTGGGTGGTTATATCACCAACAGAGCAACAGCTACGCCAGCCAAGAGAAGGCAATCGAGTACCTTGAGAAATCGGTTAGCGCAGGTAGGTTTCTACATGGTCTGAAAGGAGAATGAGACGAGTCTAACCGTGTTCTTGTGATAGACAACACTGATGCGCAGAGTTGGTACCTGCTGGGCCGATGCTATATGTCCCAAGCCAAGTATCCCAAGGCCTACGAGGCCTACCAACAAGCCGTCTACCGGGATGGTCGGAACCCAACTTTCTGGTGTTCCATTGGTGTGCTTTACTACCAAATCAATCAGTACCGCGATGCGTTGGATGCCTACTCGCGTGCTATTCGCCTAAACCCTTACATCTCAGAAGTTTGGTATGATTTGGGAACTTTGGTAAGCTCACGGATACCCGAGGATACACCAATGGACGAAACTGACTTTCTATCCAGTACGAGTCCTGTAACAACCAAATTGCGGATGCTCTCGACGCGTACGGTCGTGCTGCCGATCTGGATCCGACCAACGTCCACATCAAAGCCCGCCTGCAGCTCCTTCAGAGTCAGCTATCAGGTACAAGCCAGAGCAATGCCCCGGCTCCTCAACCTCAGGATGTCCACCCCCAGGCCTACCAGACAGGTGTTGGAGGACCTCCCGCTCCTCAGTGGGGTGCACCAGCACCGACTGGGGGTCCTCCTCCCCAGCCCCCTGCCCCACCGAGGCAGATCGCTGATTGGAACCGTGGCATCAACGAACTTCAATCTCAGGCTCAAGCCCAGGCGGCTAATGGATTTGACCACCGGGATGCGGTTCGAGCTCCCCCAGCTATTCAGCAACCCAGCCCACGCCAGGAGCCAGGAAGGGGCTTCCCCGACGCTGTCCGTCCTCAGCCTACCGCAGCTCGTTCCCCGAAGACTGCACTGGCCGGCCCGGGCGTGTACGCTCCTGCACATACACTTCCTCAGATTGCCAACCCGCCTGCGCCGTCTCACGAGCGTGCCCCTAGTGGTGCTGGCGGTTTCCCTTCGGCAACTCGAGGACCGTTACCTCCTGCTCCCGCAGGGCCCCCTCCTGCTCCCGGTGCGCCTAATGGTGCTCCTACTTCTGGCGGCCCTCTACCCCCTTATCATCGCCCGTTCACCCCTCCGACTGAGATCAGGCCTATCCGTGATGAGCGGCCCTCGTCTCCTGGTTCGACCTACCCACACCAGCAGTATCATCATGGTCCTAGCGTGCCACCTGTACAGGGCGCTGGTAGCACTGGAATTGCGGGCGGTGCCCCCCCACCTCCATCTGCGATCACTGCCGCTGAGGCCGCTGCTCGCGAACGTGAAGATCGTCCCGCCTCTGCGATGAAGCGGGGCCGCGAGTGGGAAGCCGAGTCCGCACCCGTTAAGAAGATTGCAAATGAGGAAAGCCGTGCTCGTCTCGACGAACAGCTTCCTCGTCGTGTCACTCCCCCAAACCGCATGCCTTCCCCCGGCGAGATGCAACGTCGTAGCTCGTCTGAAGTTCGACGCGAAGACCAACGTCGTATCAACGAAAGTTACCATCCATCCGAGGCCGCTCATCACCCTCCCACGCTTCCATCCATTCAGCACATGCCACAACACGCCTCTGGCTCTGGTCTTCCTCCCATGGCTGAAGGGTCTGCTCCGGCAGCCAACGGACCACAGCCTGGGCCTTCTGCTCCTGTGCAGGTTAAGGAGGAGCCGGCCCGCGGCGAGCAACCCCCGGCTCATGAACCAGCTGCGCGGAAGATGGACGTGGACGAGAACTATGATGACGATGGCGATGATGATAAAAGAGCCAGCGCTGCTGTAAAGGGCAGCCCTTCTGCCAGCGGGTCGGGTAATACCAACAATGCCACCAATGGCAGCCAGACTTCACAGTCAAAACCGGAGTCTACAGCCTAGGATACCACATCAAAAAATGTGTTTCCTGCTGTGTCCTTTGATGAATGTACCATGTTGCCTATGGACTGAGCCTGAATCCAAAAGCTCACATGAAGTTATCATTTTGAGACTTCCTGTTGCCTTCGCTTACTTCTACTTTGATTTCTTTTTCCATTTCCCCTTCCCCTTTTTTTTTTCTACTATCTATATACTTCACCCCTTACCTCCCCTTTCCTTCATTTCTCTCTACTTTTGGGCCAGCCATTTCCTGGTGGCGTTCACCCTTGTCTGCTATCTTAGCCACTTGGTCTGTATTGTATGACTCCGAACGGCACATGAGGAAGGAGATGCACGTTTCCCACTTTGTGCTTTTGTATCTATTCCATTTTCTAAACGTTTCTGTTTTCTTACATTTGTATGCCCTGCGACAACCCATCTGTTCTCATCTCCTGTCTTAGTCTTTTAACTCTTGATGATTGAAGGTAGCAACAACAGAAAATGGCAAACTAGGTTAAGTAAGATACTTTGATGAAATAGTAAATTTCGAGTTCACGTGTAGTAAGGCGGTAAGATTTGGGGTGGGTGCTGCTGCCCGACCCTTAGCCCGACCCTTAGCTTGTGTTTGGAGCGCCCGGAACCTATTCTCCATGTGCGACGGGAGAGGTACTAACCTAGTGGTACTAAGGCACCGCAGTCGTACTGATAGGGCTTTACCTGGAGAAACAACGTTATGGGGTCAGGAGGAACCGCTGAAGTTACTACGAATGGAATAGTGGCCGAATGATACATGTGCCTCAGGCAGCAACAGAAGTCGCTTACCCTCTCGGCGGTACCTAACCTTAACAGGGTTAGCGGCGGCATCGCTTAGGTCAGCCCACACTCGTTAAGCGGTGCAAAATATGACTTTGCGGCCGATTCAGAGATAGACACTGTCACTCACCACTTCGACGACTAACGACAACAGGGTCAAGATGTGAGTTCCCACGCTGGCGCAATGCCATCATGACCTCAGAAGAATCAAATCGCTGATTTTTATTCTCTGTAACAGGAGTCACCGGAAGTACGAAGCGCCTCGGCACGGTTCGTCAATCTTTGTTCAGTTTCTTTCGGACGACTTCGAATTTTGAGGTCGTGGGTGTGTTTTGTGTGCGTCCTACTGACACAGCTCTACACAGGCTCCCTTGCCTACCTGCCCCGCAAGCGCGCTGCCAGACACCGTGGAAAGGTCAAGAGGTTAGTTTTGGATGAAAATTTTCATGTTGAATTGGGATATTGGAAGGCAGGATACTGAGACCCGCGATAGCTTCCCCAAGGATGACCCCAAGAAGCCCGTCCACCTGACGGCCTCCATGGGTTACAAGGCCGGTATGACCACTGTTGTCCGTGACCTTGACAGACCCGGTGCCAAGATGCACAAGAAGGAGGTTGTCGAGGCTGTCACCGTCATCGAGACCCCTCCCGTATGTTTCACCTATCAATCCTTTCGCCCGAGTGGGTGCGGAAGTGCAACGTACTTACGAGTTTCATTTAGCTTGTCGCTATCGGTGTCGTCGGTTACATTGAGACTCCCCGTGGTCTCCGCTCTCTCACCACCGTCTGGGCTGAGCACTTGAGCGACGAGGTCAAGCGCCGCTTCTACAAGAACTGGTACAAGAGCAAGAAGAAGGCCTTCACCAAGTACGCCAAGCAGCACGCTGAGGAGAGCGGTGCCTCCATCACCCGCGAGCTTGAGCGCATCAAGAAGTACTGTACCGTTGTCCGTGTGCTCGCCCACACCCAGATCCGCAAGACCCCTCTTAAGCAGAAGAAGGCCCACCTTATGGAGATCCAGGTCAACGGTGGCTCCGTTGCCGACAAGGTTGACTTCGCCCGCAACCTCTTCGAGAAGACCATTGAGATCGACTCCGTCTTCGAGAAGGACGAGGTGATCGACGTCATTGCCGTCACCAAGGGTCACGGTTTCCAGGGTGTCACCAGCCGTTGGGGTACCAAGAAGCTTCCCCGTAAGACTCACAAGGGTCTGCGTAAGGTTGCTTGTATCGGTGCCTGGCACCCTAACCACGTCCAGTGGACTGTTGCCCGTGCTGGTCAGATGGGTTACCACCACCGTACCTCCTGCAACCACAAGGTCTACCGTATCGGTAAGGGCACCGACGAGGCTAACGCCTCCACCGAGTTCGATATCTCCAAGAAGCAGATCACTCCGTAAGTCCTCCTGTGGCACGACCTTTGTGTGCCGACTGAACGTGCCGTGACTAACAATTCTGCAGCATGGGTGGCTTCGTCCGCTATGGTGAGGTTAAGAACGACTTCGTTATGCTCAAGGGTTCCGTCCCTGGTGTTAAGAAGCGTGTCATGACCCTGCGCAAGACCCTCTACCCCCAGACCAGCCGCAAGGCCACCGAGAAGATCGAGCTCAAGTGGGTCGATACCTCTTCCGAGTTCGGCCACGGTGCCTTCCAGACCCCCGAGGAGAAGCGCGCTTTCTTGGGTACCCTCAAGAAGGACCTTGTTACTTCCGCTTAAGGTGTTTATGGATATGATACGGTGTAGTGCAAATTATTTATTTTTTCAATAAAAAAGCGAATACCTTCCAAGTCTAGGGTCCGACTGGAGATCGTTAGTTTCTTTTTCATCAGGTTTACGTAGCTGCAAGGCAATTTTATGACACTCAAGAGAACGGAATCGCAGAACAGAAATTCTCCTGTAGGAATGTCAATGTCTGGCGACTTGTACTGTAGGATCCATTTGCCATTGTGCGTTGGGAAAGCCTTGGCGCTTCTCTAACACAGTCTAGAAGAATTATCTTTAACTTTGGAAGACATGGCTTTTTTCACGCCCTTTACTCCTCTCTGTTCTAGGGTAGTGCTCATCACCATCGAACTCTAGCAGCCGTCCTTGGCCCTATAATCTGATCGTCCCCAGGCCGAACTTCCGTGGCAAAACTCCAGGACAACTGCAGCATCCAGCATCCAATCGCGATGCCGCTCAGCCGCCGAGGGCATTGCGTCATTGATCGCATCTGGTGTTGGGCTTCAATCTCATCACCAGAAGCCCACAGACTTCCCCTCCGCCCTTCAATCATCCAACTTCCGCTCCAGAACTGTCCCCAGCCCTCCCGCCGAATCCACCATCTTCGTCGACCACTCTTCGTGAACCCTCCCCGAACACGCGACAGCATCACTGTTTCACCAGCTGCCCCTCTCCAACCCACCATCTTGCGCACAATGTCCGACGACGCCTACATGAACTTCCTGAACAAGGCCAACGCGGACTTGGACACCGCGCGAGCTCAACAAGCACAAGACTCCCCTACCGTCCGCACCGAAACAGTCGAAACGGGCGTCCACGTCCCGGCTCCCCTGACCTCAGTTGACGCCTACTACATCTCTGAGACCGACGCACCATTCGAACCCGTCGCACTGCGATGGGAGGGCGCGTCTAAAGGAATCTTCCCTGACCCTTGTACGTGACTCTTCTGATTTCCACCACCTCCGCCGAAAACAGGCATTTCCACGTGGGTTCTCACGCTAACTACTTCTAAAGCGCATCTGTCCCGTCTGATCTCGCCGAATGCGGATCTTTCATCATCGATCACTACTCTCTCACCATCCTCGTTTGATCCGAGGAATCAGTACCCGTCTGCGCTGCGCGCGGTGCGCGCCGCGGCGGCGGAGTCGTCTGGAGGGGATGAATCGGCGGTGGATGTGAAGGTTTATCGGGTTGAGGTTGGGATGTCGCGGATTGAGTATTATATTCTCGCGGTGGACGCGGAGAAGTCGTTGCTTGTGGGATTGAGGACGAAGGCTGTTGAGACTTAGGGGTGCTTTCTTGCTGCTCTTTGTACTTGGTGTGTCTTTGCGGGTGTATGTGTGGAGGATTGGGGATTGTAATGGATGAGATGTGTCTGTGGGAATGAAATTGTATACTTATACCTTTGGAGTCATGTTCTCCCCCTCTTTCTGATGGAGTGTCTAGATAGAGTACGAGGCATATCGTTGTGTCCCTTGGTACTCTGGAAACATCGTAGGGCAAAAATCAGTATTAAACATGGTATCCAGGCGTTGGTCGACTTTTATATACACATTGATACTACATACTAATGTACCCAATGCCAACACAACGAATAAAGCCTGTTGGTTACTACTGGACATGGTAGTAGATACTCCCTCCATACATACATACCATGAACAACTACGCACACAGCCTATAAATAAATAAATGCAATACCACCAAGTCCAAATCAAAATTTTTTTTAAAAAAAAACAAAGAACTACACATCCAACCAACGAGTAGGAGTAGCCGGAACACATACCAGGTCCCCCCCAAAGGTATACATACAGACCCTGTTCCCTAAGCAGCCAGCAAAGGCCCGAGCCACTCACTCTCTTGCATTAGTACTACCACCAGGAATCGACTCGGGAACACAAGACTCAATAAAACCCACAGCACAATTATTTCCCAATCCCATGTATACCATATCCCCAAAAACCACCCAAGAAGAAATACTAACCCACCTCCAGTCAAGATAAGATAGCCTCGTGGTCCGAACAGCGCCGTTGTCTCCAGGGCGCAATAGTATATTTAGCACACAAGCAAAAAAAAAAGCAAAGAAAGGATTTCCTCCCCCCCCCGCCCCCCACACCGACAGAAAAACTAAATCACCGTTACACGAAAGAGGGAACAGATCTTTTATGTATGTATGCATGTATGTACTGTTAAACTTGTGGACGATAAAAATAGGTTTGTATGTGGGTTGACATCATCTGACTGTTCTTTTTGTTTGGGGTGACATGCATGTAACCCATTGATTTAAGTAGAACTGGGGTCTTTGAAGAAACCCGTGAAAGGGGTCCTTGTGGGTGGATGGACGTACGTATGTATGTATACTCCGGTGTGGAGTTGGGGTTTATGGGGATCTGTCTGTAGGGGTTGAGTTTGGGGTTTCTATTACTCATTGGAGGTGCCATTGGAAGTCTTTTTGATTTCGCTGTTTGATTCTAGGCATCGATCATGCTGTTTGTGTGGTTGTGTAGTACAAAGAGGGAAAGGTGATAGGCAGAAAGATAAAAAAAAAAAAAAAAAAAAAAAAAAAAAAAAAAAAAAAAAAAAAAAAAAAAAAAAAAAAAATTGAAAAAATTAAAAAAATAAAAAAAAAAAAAAAAAAAAAAAAAAAAAAAAAAAAAAAAAAAAAAAAAAAAAAAAAAAAAAAAAAATTGAACAAAAAACAATAAAAAATAAAATACAATACTAAGAGAAGATATGAGCAAGGGGCGGTTCGTCGTCCTTGCCCTTGGTGCAGGTGGAGGGCAGGATAAGATGTTCTTTTTTATGTATTTTATTGTATTTTTGATTTATTTCGCACTCTCACATGGAGGACAATCACATAGTCCTGTACAATTTGCACAATCGACAACGCAAACTGTCTCAGGTGAGGAAACAAAATCAGCCCCACTGCGAGGAAAAAGGCTACTGGTGTTATTTTTGTTCGGGCGATTGTTATCATGGCGCATGGGACCATCGAACTGGGGCATGTCTCGGGATGGATGGGTTTAACACGCGTCCCCTGCCAGACTAAGGATATTAGGGTTGTCCTGCTAAATTACCAGGGTAAACGGCGAGCCGCGCTAAGGTATTGCTTTGGTACGACAGTATATTGAAGGAGGTGACGGTGCAGGGGAACAGGAGTGCCTTAAATACTCATGTATATACCAAGAAGCCAAGCATTGTTGACCTCTGATCATTACTGGAAAGGATTGGAACTGTCCCGAATGGTGTGGACAGTGATTGGGTCGTGGGTGTTCCTCCCCGGCGAATGCATCTCAAGCCGTTGCCGACGCTGCGCTGTTCCGGTCCTCAGGAAAGTTTGGGAACTGACACATCATCCTTTGGAGGCTGATCGAAGTGTTGTAGCTTATTTGCAGTGATTCGGTAGATGCGTCACTGTCATCTGTGTAGGAGATGTGGCTGACATCAAACGCATCTCGGGTGATCTGCTGATGATCTTTGCCAGGACGAAAGATCACCACCGTACTTTACAGGGAGTGACCACCAGTGTCAGTCAAAAGTAATGATCCAAGGAAAGAATATAAGTGTCAATGGGAGTCTCTTGGTCTTCGTACTTCTTACCTTGTTTCTGAGAGTTCTCGTGGGGTGGCGGAAGGTCCCCAGGAATGACGGAAGGTTGCTATGAGCTTTGTCCGATGGAATGAGGGGAAGAGGAAACAATGGGTTTCAAGATTCCGGAACTCAGACAATTCGCCATGGAGTATGCTATACATTTCCTCCGGACTCCACGGCTATTCAGCCTCATTGCCTTCTTCTTTCTGGCCCGGTGGCCTGTTTGTTGCGATGACGACAGGGTCGTGCTTTGTCACTGGGTAGATCTGATCTATCCAGAGCCCTTAAGGTTAAGAGCCAGGACGCGTGTTCAGGAATGATTTATATATAGGAGCATCCATGTGAGGCACTCATCGGAGAGATTATTGTTCGCTTCTCCTTGTCCTTCTCTTCTCTTCTTTCTCTTTCTTTTGTTCTCCAAAAGATCAGCGGTCGTCTCAGAGTGAAGCCGGAAGTAGGTCTCGGGTTAGGTTCTTCTGGAAGGGGTCTCGGCGTGTCAATCATTGAATCGAAGGGTTGGATGCAAGAAGACATGAGAGTCAGTTGTTAATATAGGGCTCACATGATGAGTAGCACACAGTAGGGGTTTGCATCAGTGTACATCAGTGTACATCTGCCATATCACCGTCGTAGTACTGTGTAGTACTAGTAGTAGTCTTTCGCCGGGAGTATTACCATACGATACCGAATCCACCGGGTGGATGAACCCTGCACTAAAAACTTCCATATGGCGCTAGACGGTCAAATAACGCTTAGTTGCCGAGTCTTAGGGTTCACCGGTCCACTTGACAACGATCTTGAGATTCCATGGAACAGGCTCCCATTTCTCATGGTCTGTAGCAACGAAATTCTTCCTGAGCATTCCTGAAACTCACTGGGTGGGGTGGATGCTTCGGTTTGAGGCAGCTATGAAATATCCCGGTGAACCAGCCAAGGGGTTCAACGGGAAGGGGAAAACAAACGGTGGGAACTGGATGATTTCCCCTGAAGGGTCAAAGTCTAGACCGCCGAGGAAACAAACATACTCGCCGGGCAGTACCTGCGTTTTTTCTCGTCGCCGTCGAACCAACGTTCGCCAAAAGGACCTGCAGACGCCACCGGGCCACCTTCTGTACTCATTTCCCTCGGTCGTCAATCGCCCAAAAAAAAAAAAAAAATTATGGGCGACCATCCCCACCTGCAGGGGCCCTAGTGGCCAATGATCCCCAGAGGGGACCTATTTTAAAGCATTCTTGTGGTCTTGTATCTTTTTGATAACAACAGGACCATCAGTGGTGCCTTTCATGCCGATTCCTGCTGTCTTTGGATGGTTTCATGATGGTCCAGTATTGTTCTATGGATTGTTATTTGTCCTTTTCTTTCTACCGCACTGTATAATTACTCTGGATAATAATAATAATTATGACTATCATTTATTATTACTGGTAACTGTTTAGGTATAACCTTGAAGGAAAGTAATTTTTTTTTTTGATTTCTATTTTCTAAAAAAAATAAAAAAAGCTTTGCCATGCTATGTAGGAATAAGCCAAACAGGGATTGGCATTGACAACCTGAACGCTCTCCACTCCCTTTCCTTACTGTTTCTTCTGGGTAGTTTAGGTCTTTGTGGCATCCTGACCTTCATTCCATTGCGCCCGCTGGTGCCTTTTCTTTGTTTCTGTCTGCTTTTCTTCTTCTTCCTCTCCCCCTCCTCTCCGTCCAAACGTCAATCTGCCCTTTCGCTGTCCGCCATCACCGCCCATTCACCTCACTACATACACGCTCTCTAACCCCGTCTGATTGTTTTGGTTCTGCTACACTAATACCGCCTGTTCTCCTGTCGTCGTCCAATCTTCCAGAGACAAATGCGCATCGGGATCTAACGTCCCGTCCACTCGTTCGTAGTCTTGTTTCCATCTTGATACCCATATCGCATTATTCGTCGCTCTTTTTCCGTTTTTGTCTCGGAGCCAGTCATTACCGAGCGTGAGGGTGTATTAATACCTAATTAATAGCATCGGGACACAGCTACAGTCTGCTGGTACACATCTGGATGGAATCCTGGAAGGCAGCTGTTTGATTGGTTGTATATCAAGGGTTTCCGGATATACTTGCCATTCAGTGCGCATCGTCGATATCATTTGCGACGAGACCGGGATTGAGAGAGAAGCACTATCAAGACGGTTGGAAGTGAATTAGGCCCCGCGTTTCCATTAATTGCCAGATCCGCGTGGGCAACAGCACAGCGTTGACAGACCACCCTCAGCGCAATCCATACGAACGGATTACAAGATGTCGGACAATCCTATGGGCCAATCGGTGCGAGAAACTCCTCATATTCGACTGAATTCGGGCCAGCATGATCCATTCAGTGATCCAGACGAGACCTACCCCCCGGTCCCTAGTCATGCGGGCGTTGGACGCGCCTTGACACCGGGCATGTCGAATTCAGCGTCCACGGGGACATTCATGACCATGCAGACTGGGATGGGCTCGCCGACCCCACAGGACTCAACAGATTTCTTGTTGCCGCCGCGGCCACAGAGGCATCGGGAACAGTATGAAGGGTTTCAATCGCCGGATTTGTCTGCGCAATCGTCGAGACGGACAAGTTGGAGCTCGGAAGGTGGGAGTGAGAGCAGAGGCTACTTCTACCCCCGTTATGAGGACCTGAGATCTCCCTCGCAGGGAGAGGGTGATGCGGAAGATGTGAATACACAAACGGTTACGGAGAAGTTCAACATCATGCCGTCAGAAGGGCTGCTTTTATTCCCAGAGGATGTGGAGAAGGACGATTATTTGCACAACCCGGATCCGAACGACAAAGAACGGGACTGTGACATCTGGAACCGACGAGGAATAATCAACGGCGGAGGTTTAGTCTTGTTGACGCTGGGTCTCCTGATGCTGTTCATTGGGTATCCTGTTTTGTATGACCTATAACTCCATTTGGACAGATGCGGGCGCGGAAACTAATCTTTTGTAGTACTGCCGTGAAAGGGATGGAGAAACAATCGGGCTCCATCTGTAAAGCTGGGGATACGTTATGTCTTGATGTGGGAGAGAGGTCATTACTCAAAAACGTGCGGCGCG